GCTAATGAGAGGAGATTTCTTGGAAGCGGTGAGCAGCTACTCAGCAAGGGCAGATATTAAAGACAAGGGGCGGAGGGGAGAGGGAAGCATTCCCTGGAGATTAGCTTTTAAAAGGCGAGGATGTTCCAGAGATATGAGCCATCTTAATGGTTGCTAAGATTGCTAGGAAGTGGTTATTTTGTTAGGCACTTTATGTAATCTTTTCACCAACAATTAACCCGGAGTAAAAATCTATTTATATTTAGAGAGAAATTAGAAATCATTTCCGTCCTGTGGCTCCAGCGTTGGCTTTATTTTCACACTGAGGGACAAGAGGAGCTGGCGTGTGTGTGTGAGTGTGTGTGAGTGCTGTTTTTTTTGGGAGAAAGGCCTCTTGTTTTACACTGCATCCCCCTCCCTCCTTTTCGTGGAGGGGAGTTAAAAAAAAAGAGGAGCAGACAGATTTATTCATTATCTAAACTCAAGTGCAAATGGCTAAAATATCTTGTCTGCTGAAACAAAACAAAATAAAGACATATCCCCCATCAAAGGAAAAAAAAAAAATCATCCCTTTCTCTATTTTCTCTGACATTAAAAATAAAAAACTCCAGTGCTGTTAAAGTGAGTTCTGTCCATCTGTCTACCTGGGGCACAAACTGCATCCCGCTGCTTTTGGAAAAAATAAATAATCTTCTATCATTAATTAGTTCCATATTCACGAGACACCTCTGTCAAAACAATTTATTTATATGTTTCTCCTCCGCATTTTAGTCTTTTCAATAGAGTCTCCGGGAAAATGCCAGAGATTCAACCAGTGATCAGCTCTGCTCTCACTTCTCCCTCTTTCCCAGTCCCAGATGCAAACTATAACGTAATATTCCCCTCTCAAAATTTTAAGAGGAAACTTCTTTCTCTGGTGATATTTGCCTAACCCTTTGGCCAGCCATCCCGAGATGTAAAAAATAAACGTGGAAAGCAGGAAAGAATTCCCACGCAATGAGTTTGGTGTTATTAACGACAAGATCCTTACGAATTTTTGCGGGGGGGGAAGTGTGGTTTGGGGATGAGGCGAGGTGATTTCGACCTCTGCTCATGTTCTGAGCTTTACACATGAAAACCAAACGAGGCGCCTATATATAACCTACCCAGACTCACCTTTTTTCCCTCCTTCCATTCCCGGTGTCCCGAAAACCTTTAGCAAAGGGGTTGTTGTCAATTTTTAATTGAGTGATCTACAGGATGGAGAAAAAAAAAAAAAATAGGCAGGGTTTGGGGCAGAAATAAGATTTTGTATTAAAAAACATCAGTAAAAAAACCCTCTCTCCAGTTCCCCCAGCGCTGGCAGGACCCTGGCAGGAGCAGGACAGGGCAGGAGGCAAAGGTCCCTGGTTTTGGGGTGAATCCCCGTGTTTTCCTGAGCCGGTTTGGAGGCAGCTCGCCCCCAACGCCCCGGCGGGGCTGGCCGGTGACCCGGGCGGTGGTGGCAATGAAAGAGCCCCGTGTTGCTGCCACCGCATCGGAATTAATTTCGCCGTGCAATGCGATCCACGCAAGTCATGCCTGCGCTTAAAACTCTTTAAATGCCGTAATTAAACCGCAAAGGAATCATACCCACCCCCTTGCTATAATAAAATACTTTACAGAATCGCGTTATGCTCCTCATGTGCGTGTGTGTTGGGGTGCCAGTTAATTATTTGGGGGGGTGTGCGTAAGTTTCTTGGGGAAAACTTGGGGGGGTTCCTCGGGATTCAGGTTATCGCAGGGAACGGCTGTTTCTTCCT